ACCTTTTTTTTTTTTTAGATCACCTACGTTTTTATCATCATACTTTTGCTCCATTTTATCTATATAACGATGAACATACTTTTTTCCTTGAACAGACCTTATTGCCCAACCTTTTTGAAAAGATTTGTAACGTTTTTCAGGTTCAAGAACAAAATTACTACCTACATTACCATCATCGAGACGTTGAAAAAATTCAACAAATCCTCCATCCAGTAGAATTTCGGTAGGTTCAGGAAGACCCCAGATTTAGCTCTGTTATGTTATGAGAGAATAAATGCAAAAAGTTTAGCCAGTTATCTATTTTTCTAGCTTAAGTAGCCCTGCAAGACTAAGAAAAAATTTGTACCCTGGAGGTATGCATTATGCGTTAAGTAAACACTGAGCAAATATATATGCCTATGTTGTGTTACCTAAGAGTAGTATGTTTTGATAGAATAAGCAGGGTAAAATTCATCTTTTCACCAAATATGTAATTATTATCAGCACTTGACATATTAGTAGCTTACTGAACCCTCTCAAAGCTAATTTTAAGCACACTTACAGACTGTATCTGTAAATGTGAACAAAATTTTCATCTCTGTACTGTTCACTTCTACACTGCAAACAGAAGCAGTTCATAAAAACTTCAAATATAGATGTTAAACTTTCAAAACAGGTTATTTTAAATGAATTAGCTGAACTTATTTTAAATAAGCATAAAGTATGTTACATCCAATGAAAATTAAATACTCTAGATATTTTAGGTACATGTACACACACAAAAATACTACATTCACTGCATTCTCTAAATTTACATACACTTTAATATTTTCTATTTCTAAAGCAAAATTTTATTACATATGATTGAAAAAGAATACCAGTACCATACTAGACCAACAAACACTTAAAAAAAAGAAAAAAGGCCACCAGTTAAATTTCTCAATGGTTTTCAATCTACTGAAATATATAGTTTAAAATATCTTGATGTGAATGGGTAACAGAGTAAAACAAGAACAATAACTGTCATAAAGTAACTGACAACCAGTCCAAAAATCACCAATCTTAAATTAAAAAGCAAAATTTTTATGGTACTTAAAATATAGCTAATGACATTGTCTATAATATGCAGAAAACCAGAAGGTAACTGCTTTATACAGACAGTGCAAAGTACTGGAGGGAGCACAATGATAATGATAACATGTATGTCACAGTGGTTGGGGTCCTTCATTTTAAATGGGTAAATAAAGTATGTTCCAGAAAATTGTGGCCAACTCATAGTGTTGCATTTCTGCTCACAGCAATAATGCAACAATCCATTACACTTGTATTGTCCAAAATATGTTCAGAGAACAATAGAGTGACTTCAGCCATCTTCCATAACCAGCAGTCAATCTAAAGTACCTCTAAAATGAAAAAAAAAAGGTAGCATTTTCCACCATACTTTTTTTTGCTAACTTCTATGGACCAATTGCAAAGCATAATCTGCAATAATATTATTTTGTTTACAGATATCCAAGAGTTATCTGTGCTAGTCATCCCTAATTTTGAACTGACAGCAAGGCAGCTAGTCAACAGCACCAACTATTAACACATGAGCTACTGTTATATAACCATATAGTGGGATTTGAACATCACCCTTATAATGCATTCATAGCCCTAAAGTATGGAATAAATTGTTGTTGTTGTTTTTGCAGTAACAGTATGTGAATGGTGGACCTGCAGATTCACAGTCCAGCAAACTAAGCACTAAGCCATGCTTGGCCACTCTGCAATGAATGTCTATAATAAAAAAAACAACAAATTTTGGTATCTAGTAGACAAAGTAAAGTATGTCATAAGAAATCCTGGCTACTACTTCAGTGAAAGGCAGTCCAAACCAATATGAGGCAGTGTCTAATAAAATGTAAGTCAGTATAATAAATACATTTAGACTGAAAGCTTCAGATACATCAACACCTGATTATCTCAGCTTCTAAACATTGCACTGAAACTTCTGAAACCATTCAAATACAAAATTACAAGAAATTTAAATACAGAAGTGATACTAAAAATACTTAACATCTATATATATACTTGTTAACTTTTTGGATTATTTTACTTCTTTTTTTCAATAATGCTTATTTCAACTTTTAACATTCTTATATTTTTAATTTTATTTTAATAATTCAGGAGCTTTAAAAATGGTTAAAATTATATTTCTCAAATATATAAAAAAGAAAAGAAAATGATCTTATTTCATAATTTGAAAAAATACTATCAATTCTGTACAGATTTAACAGTGCCAGATTTTATAAGAATTTAATATGAATATGATTATGGAAAGAACATTGTGAATTTTTTCGTATACTTATAAATGTCATCATAATGCCAAGAGAAATTGCATTTTGAAAAGTTAGAAATTTTTGGCTAACATCATTAAATTATTTTACTCAATTAAAACATCTATCTGAATGACAGAAGTTACTTATTAATTTTTTGCTATGACCATCATAATTTTTTATTAACTCTTTATGGCAAAATTATTTTTGTTTATTAACTCTTTATGGCAAAATTATTTTTGTTTATTCAAATGCATTTTGAAAGAGCTATGTGTCAGAATTAGAAATCCCCTTTTCCCTGAAATGGGACCAAAGGCTATCTGGAGGGATCACCTGTTTTAACCACTCAAACCACTATGTGGTAGCGTGTTATCTGTCAGTCAGTCAGTAGACACTAAAATGACACATAAGGGAAACTTAAAATTACAATTTGTACTGTTGACATCAATAAAACGTGCACATGCCATATGATTCAAAAGCAAGAAATAAAAGTATTTATTAAGCTTAATCTTGGTTTTATTTACTCTTAAAATACTTTCGGAACCCTGTGGAAGTACATCCAGTATAAACATATTTTCCTGGCCACAAAAACTAGCTTACGTTGCAACCCCTAAGAACAGCAATATGGTATGACAGCAACTGAAGTGGTATAACAGTTAGTATTCCTTGGAGACAGTCAACATTGTGAGGTACTTCAAGTGAGAGATAGGCATGTTTCTGGGTTTCAGTGTCATCTTTCTCACAAATAATTACTGGCCTGCCATCACGAGCAGTCACCTGTTCAGACACAAAGAAATACAGGTTACAATGATGCACAGTTACTGATGGCTTAACACTTGAAAAAAAGTTAGATTTCACAGAAACAGGTCTTCATAACATTGAATTTTTAAGATTTGATTATATTCGATAGTATATAATCAAAAATATTATCCTAATTTCACAGTCACTGAATTTTTGTCTGGAAAAAATTAGAAAACGTAACTTATCATAATATTTAGTATAGATTATTTCAAAGAATATACGATTTCCTTTTTTTTTTCATCCTGGCTAAATGAGTATGAAATCTCAATAATGCAGCCTAATCTGAACACCACTCCAGTTCATGAAAAAAAAAGAGAGGTTTCTTAACCATTGGAAACTTCATCTAGACTTATGAAAGTAAAATTGAATACAAAAACAAAAATAAATCTAAATAATGCAACCTGACTTCAACACAACTTCAGTTTGTTATGCTTATCCACATAAAAATCTCTTCTAAACATACAAGAAAAATAAACAGAAGACAAAAATCTATATTTCATTATAACTATAGTTTATGCAAACATTTACACTTGAAAGGCATGTTTTACTCTATGTGACATAATGAACATATTAAAATTCACTGAAATGTTTATTTAATATTTTTCTGATTAAAACATTGTAACAGTTTTTAGACCTTATGTAATTAATGTTTAATAGTTCTCAAATAATTAAGAGGACTATTTAATCTAGCATTTATAATAGTGAAGAAGAATGACTGTACACAAAAGTTAGTTAATATTACATCTCTCTGGACCATGATGGTGCCAAAAGCACCCAACAGGCTTTTCACATTCTAACAGTAAAAATAACTCAACCAAATTATGTAAAACAAGGAACAAATCTTTTAAATAGTGTCTGTTCTTTGTATGAACAATTCATAAAATTCAATTTAGTATATCTTTTCTTTTTCTGGTTGTAAAGTTCTTGAAAGTACTTTAAACACCATTTTGGAAATCAATAAAAATACTTCCTTTTCCCTCAAACTATTTTTTCCGTGTCATAGTGGCTCATAGAATAGCTCAGAGTTTTTCAAGAACAAACTTTTAGCTCATAGCTCCATCATGCTTAACTGATTTTAGATCTAATTACAGTTATGAACTCAGGAGGTCAAACCCTTTCGACTGATGTATTTGACCACACCCAAGGTCTCATTAATTTACTCTAATCCTGCCTAAAAGAATTTCAATTTGAGGGTAGGCTGGTAGAGATTCTAATGAGTAATAAAATCAAATCGCGTATACACATGCCCACATGCTTGGTATTGCTGGCACACAAAAATAGACTAATTTTCTTTAATCCTGCCTAAAAGAATTTCAAGTATTGGAGATTCCCTCATTTGCTGTGCACCAGAAAAAGTAATTTTTATATATATATAAAATCAAAGTTGTTTGATATTTATTAAATATTTAATATTATACTTTATTTTGCTGATTCAAGCAGTCATTGTGCTGTTATAAATCATACATAAGGTGCAAAACTGACAGATTTATCAGTGACTAATGACCTCACCTTTCAAAATCACATCACCATTACCATTGTCAGGTGTTCAACCATGATATTTTGACAATATTTTGGGTTAAAATAAATTCAGACCATATGTGTTTTTTTTTCCTACAAATAAGAAATTATAGTATTTGTGTCTGTTGCTTGAATATTATAAACTTATAAATGATTCAATAAAAAAATAATTTGTTTTTTGATTGTTTGTTTGGTGTTAACCACAAAGCTACACAAAGGAACGGGTAGTGAAAGCAAGTTTTTAGCATTATAAGTCTCCACACTTACTGCTGGGGAGTAAAAGGATTTGCATCCTCTGAATAATCTGTCATTAAAACCTAGCTTAACATAATCACTAAACCTAAATATCCTTAAGGACTTGATGTCATAGAAAAGTATTCCTTTAGCTTTTAAACAAACAATATATAACATAAAGACATTATTGTGAATGAAAGAACCTTAGCAGAAACTATAAAAAAAGATCTGGCTTTTTAATGTTTACTGAAAAATTCTGTCTTTAAAATGCTTTCTTGCTGCTCATTACAGCTATCTTCAAACTTTTTCAAACACATCATTCAGTTCCACATAGTACTATTGTAATCTCAACAACAGAGAATTAAAGATCAAATTTTTACTTTCTGCCAGTTACTTGCTTAAAACTATACCCTTTTTTGAAGTTAAGAATCACTAGGTTCTCAAGAACTTTGGACAGTCTAATAAATGAGACTTCAACACCAATAAATTCACCACTGAACAAACAAAAGGTATAGAAACATGAAATAAATGTTAAGCTAATCAAAAAATATTAAAACTGGATTGGGAACAATAAATATAAGTTAAGTGTGATGTTTACAGTTCATACACAGAGGTACAACAGAAATGAAATAAATGATATAAATATTATGTGCTGCTAACATATCAATTCTACAAAACTTATCAAAATAGTTAAGTTATACTTTGTAACTAAATTTTCAAAGATTATGAACGTCCACTCTGAGTGACCCACTAGGCAAGAAAAGGTTAAATTATCACCTTCAAGCAAATAGTGAACAGAAAACTTAAGGTTTGTAGTATCTTACCTGCTGCAGGGCATTCATACACTTTGGGTAGACAGGATCACGAGTCACTATCATAATAACAGGCATAGCTTTGTCCACCAGGGCTAAAGGTCCATGTTTTAGTTCTCCAGATATTATACCCTCTGAGTGCATGTAAGTTAACTCTTTGATTTTCTGAAGAAATTTTAAAAATCCAATGCTTAAAAAAAGTAATATCTTAAACTGAAACTTTGGAAAGACCTAGTATTGTATCTGGAGTCAGAAAGTACAATTCTCCCAAACATTTTAAGATAGATGTAAAATATCTAGAGTGATTATCATGTTTTCTACTTGAAGTTTACAACACACAATGTATAATTGCAAACTAACATTTATGTAACTTCTATATGGGATTAGAGGGTATGCTAATCTTACAAGATGTGCAAACTTAGTCAAGTCAACCAAATATATAAGGGTAAGTAGATTATTCAAATTTAAAATAGCAGATTAAATACATAGTTACTTTTTCTCAGAAGTAATAAATATCTAGTATAGGAAAGAAATAAGCCATTTCTAACTTAATTCAAGATGTTAAAAAATGTAATATTCAGAGTATGTAAAATTAGTTTTTATATGTTACATAACTTAAGTGAAGATTTTTTTAGGACTTCCATCATTACTTCGAAAATTTTATTATTTTCAGAAAAGTATACTTAATTGTATCATGGAGCAAGACTATTTAAATGGATATCTTGATACCAAAAATATCATATTATCTAATGTGGTTTATATGCTAACTTCATACAGTGTAAAACAAAACAGCTGAGAAGTTGAAAGATTTATTAATTTCCTAGAAAAAATCTATGATATAAAAAAAAGTTTTCATAAGATGCGTGTGTTTTAGATTTTAACTGTTTGGTTTATTATGGAAAACCTTGCTTAATCTTTCAATATTCTAGTTTCAGCCTAAATATAAAAATGAAAAAATTGCATGTTCTACTGGGACTTAGCTAAGACAGTTTGCTAAAAGACTACAGTGAAAATCAATGATAGATCTCATTTACATCTAAAACTAACAATAAGTCTGCAAATAACTGGTTATGATTTGAAACAATTCTGCTTTAAATGCAATTTTATTGCAAGTAGCCAATGTTACAATTAAACAACGTTCATGTTTATGGTAACAAAATAATTATAAAAATAATTGCATACTACTGCAATTACCATTCTATGCTCTGGCTTTCTTGAAATAAATTGTGATAGAAAACATTTTTGTACTATTATGCCACTAGTTATAATGCATTATCTACACGTTTGTTAAAAACATACAGCAAAATAAAACAACTGAAATTATAAAAAAAATATTAAAATTTGTCACTATTGTTTTAGTGCAAAACTACACACTGGGCTATGCATTCTATCCAAGTGGATTTGAACCCATGAACTGCAAGTTGAGTGCCCTAACTACCAGGTCATGCTAGGCCCTATATATTGAAAATTAATCTTCAAGAAAAAGGAACCTCACAACATCCAATAATACTTGAGACAATAGATTTGATAAGTTTGAAGCAACTGCTTACTAAAATTAACTGTTTAAGGAAACTTGCTTTTTTTGTGTTTTTTTTTTTTTATCACATCTACTTCCTTTTTTTTTTTTTCTAAAAACAGTATTCACATCACAGTGTGTGTTTACATCATCAACAATGCCTGAAAAATGGTAAGTATACCTTACAGAATTTAATGAAACAGCAAATTATTAGTTTCATATTTTTTTCATCTCAAAAGCTGAAATCACAGGTTTAGATACTTGAAAAAAAAATTGTAACAACTTAATAATAAGCTATACTAGTAACCATGTGTTGAAGTTATTGCTAGTGGCATGAAAAACAAAATTAGACAAAGTCATTTGTTAACTATGATTTTATCAATCTAGCAGGGTTGATGTTATTCAAGAATACAAATTTTAGTTGTTCATAATGTGGGCTTTGTTACCAGTGTAAGTTTTCTATAGTGAAAAAATTTAATAAACACTACACACTAGGGTTTACATCAGTGCAATACTAAAAACTGTGTCAGTTTTTTTCATACAGTAATAATTCAGAATTGTTAATGTAAGTTTGTATGTAATTTATCAGAAATCTTTTTAAAAACCAAATTCAAGCTTGTCATTCAAATTTTGTTCTTTACCAGCTGTTTTCCAATCTGGTAATTCTGAGTTTAATGTTAATCATTCTGCAAAAGAAAAAAAGCTAAATGGAAAAAATAATTAGTTCTATTCTGATAACAAAGCTTTTGAACACATCACTGAACAACTCAGCTTTATCACAAAATTATGTGGAACTGAAGCTAAACAGCTTACAAATAAAATGCCAAACACCCACTTACCAAAGCTCCTTCAAGACATGTAGCACTATTGTAACCTCTGCCCATCACCAAAAGGGACTTCTGTTGATACATCTTTTGAGCCAGATCATACACCTGTTCATCCAACTCCAAGACTTTCTTGATTTGTTCTATTGAGAAATAAGAAACACGTATAAGAATCTTAATACAGTTAAAGATACCACCAAGTAGTCTGTCCCAAGTACAAAATGACATAAAAAACATGTAACTAAATAAAATTCATAACCAGTTACAACTCTAATGTCTCTGGAAGATAGCTGAAAACACAGTAATTATAAATCTATTTACAAATTACTACTACATGGTATTGTTTTACCTGAAATTCAGCTTCACTTCATTCCACTTACTGTAATGTGAGAAATGCCATAAAAATTGCTTTTCACTGCATGTTTAACTATTGGCGGTCTAGTGCAACAGTTTATTGTAAAACAAAAAATTATGAGGGGAAAAAAAAAGAATTAAACTTTCACGACTCACTAAGGTTCTGTTTCCTACTTTCCACTTACCTCCTAATTACATTTTTATTTTTTTTTATTTTTTTTTATTT